ACACACATTCCACGTAGGCAAGAATTCACATAAATTAATAATATTACCCTGTCTATATTACAGATACCGTTAAGTTTGGAACTATTCATAACGTGGGGATATTTGGGAACAATTTTTCTAATTTTCTTCATGTATTATTGGCATGCCAACGATATAGTAGTTGAGGTAAAGTTCGAATACATTGTTCACATAAATCTACTACTACTATTTATAATAAATACTATATATTTCGAAAGAGTGCCAAACTTTCCGAAGCTGCGTACGAATCGAATTGGCTTGATACGGAACCGCGTTGTAAGCGAGCAATTCAACTGATGATATTGCGCGCTTAAAGGCCTCTCATGATGAGGGCTGGATTGTTCCCCATGGACATGAGCACTTTAATAATGGTTTGTATAAATATAAAAAAAACTCTTTTGTCTATTAAATAATCATAATAGATCATACGAGCATATTTTTCTTGGCTATTACCATCTCAATTCGCTACAAATACAATAAATAATTTCAAATTTTTCTTATTTCTGAAATAATATCATCCACTTATCAAAAAAAATACAGCTTCAAATTGATAATGAAAAATCAAAAATATAAAAAAATGCAACCTTTAATTAATGAAACTGTCTGAAGGTGTAAATATATTCTGATATGAAGAAATTGAAATTTAATATTATAATTTTATTAGTATTATATTTTTGAGGAAAGTATTAACGTATTGTATATTTTTATTAGATAACACGAGCTTCTTATAGTGCAGTCGCTCTCTTAAGACAACTGAATGAAAGTTAATAGTTATCGAAAACCAACAATTAAGGGGTTCTTATTTTTTCAAAAAATAGGATTTAATATAATATGGTTTAGAACGCAGCAAAAGTTTAACCAGAGGCAAAAATGACATGGAACAAAAAAATTTAAAACTATTTATAAAGGTATAATATGTATAAATTTATTAAAAATGTATTTTATTAAAATTGTATAAATTTATTAAAAATGTATAAATTTATTAAAAATTTATAAATTTATTATAATAAACAAGTATGAATATTCATCGTTTTTTAATTAAATATTATTTTAATGCTATTAATTAATATTATATTATTTAAAATTCAAAGAAAAAAATAGCTAAATATACAAACAAGGCTAAATCTGCTACATCAAACATATTTTCATGCATCTGTGCGTTATTAAATAATGTTTAATCATAAAAACATATGTAAATTATGTATAATATAATCATCGTATGAATGTGGCATTATATGTGCACACATAACACACACACATTATTTTATAATTTTCTTATTATATTATGAATAAAAAATCAAACCTATTTTGATGTCAAATTATCGGATTATCTTTACATATTTTTTTAGTAATTTAATGGAAGGTTCCGGTAGTTAAAGTAATGTGATATAGTAATACTTAATAACACTGGATATTTCCAGTAATTTAAGATATATATCTTAAATTTACTATAAACAAGTAAGCATTATATTTCTTACAACAGTCTGAAAAGGGGTTTCTAATATAATTTACAGTTCTCCAAAATTAAAAGACTCGACGCAATATTCAAGAATCCATTCAATTATCTCAATCGGTATTTACAGTTAAAGATTTTTTTTATTTAAATTCTTTATGTATTAATTCATGTTATAGAAATATACACAGAACTAATGTCTTAAAAGTTTATTTCAATCAAAACATGGACCCACAAGTAAAGGAAAACGCAATGGTCAAGATACATATACAAGGCAGACAATAATTATTGAACAATACATTTTAGTATAACAATATTAATATTATGTATTTATTAAATTTCAGCTTTGAATTTTATGGGATTCATTCATTACAAAAATGCTAAATTTCCACGACTGAATGCATTAAAAGGATGCATAATATTATTATTTATGCTGGCATTCAATATTACTCAATATTTTTATATTTATAAGAATCGAAACAATTTATTACGATTAACGTCGAGGGGTGGTTCAGTATTATTGTTTAGTTCATTAATCATAAAAGGAGTGACAACACTACTTTACCATAATAAATATTGTGAAATATTAAATTACATACATAACACAATAAAAAATATCCAGGAAAGTGACAATTATGAAATTCAAATTATTTTAAACAAATTTATAAGAAAAAACAGTGTAATAACTAAAATAGTACTGATCACTACAGGTTTTACTGTTATTTTGTTCAATATATACGTGATTTTGGCACTGTTTGTATTCGCAAAGTAAGTATCTTAGTTTCTTCACTAATTTTTGGATCAGAATATTACGTAGAAGGTTTATTAATTGCAATAAATGTAACTTTTATAGGCCTGGAGAAAAAATTGATATTTTTGCCGTAGCTGTACATATTCCTAATATGCCAGTTGAAGAAAACACAATTTTTATTTCTGTGATACTGGAACTTATGGTTTTAACAGCGGGTTCATTGATACCAATTTGGAACACACTAATTATTTCACTTTTATCATTCATCCAGTGCATAATTGAAATTCATAATTATAAAGTTAAACACTTTCATCAATTAACAATCGACGGTGACCATTATAAAACCGTAATCCATTTTATAGAAGAACATTTGCAAATAATCAAGTATGAATGCAAATTTTTCAATTCTAGAATTTTATAGTAAATAATGTTAACACTTTTGTTTCAAGGTTGATGGAGAAGATCAGTTACATCATGAATATACCAATGAACATGGATTTTTTGATTGTTGCAATCATCTTATGCGGAGAAGTATTCACTATGTCTTTGGTAATAGTTTAATTCTTGTACATTTATCATTTTATTTTTACATTCAATTTGCACCCATTTGATGATAGAACATTAAGCAATTCTGGATATTCATACTCTTCTTCTTGGTACCAACGATTTCGATAATCACAAAGCACGACGAAAGAATGCATTTGCTCACATAAATATATACAGATTAAATTCTAGATATATTATTTTCACATTCTGTGCGCTTTATACTGCGTAATTCCAAACTTCCTCACCATTTTTGTATTTTCACAATGGGTTCCGGATTTTTGGCAATAACATAGACAAAAATTTTTGCATATTATTCCTAATTATAAATAAACGAATCGGTCGATCGTCGCGTAAAAATAATCAACGCGAGTCCTTATAGAGTTTCATCACCATAACTTGAAACGTCTCGTAAAAGCTTCACACATTCAAATTAGCAAATATCAAATATTTACTTAACAATTTATAATATAATTATGTATATATTACAGATACCATTCGGCTTAGAGCTATTCATAACTTGGGGATATGTGGGAACCATTTTTCTAATTTTCTTCATGTATTATTGGCATGCCAACGATATAGTAATTGAGGTAAAAATTCGAATGCATTGTTCATATAAAAAAACTACTTCTATTTATAACATTTGTTATGTATTTAATCAAAAGAGTACAAAACTTTCTGAAGCTGCGTACGAATCGAATTGGCTCGATACGGAACCGCGTTGTAAGCGAGCGATTCAATTGATGATACTGCGCGCTCAAAGGCCGCTCGTGATGAGGGCCGGATTATTCCCTATGGACATGAGCACTTTAATAATGGTTTGATATAATTATAATGAATTCATTTTCTACCCCTGAATAGAAAAACATGGAGCATTTTTTTCTTGCATAAATTCATTATTATTACCACAAAAACGCTACAAACTACTATAATTGATTTTATATTTGCACCGGCAGTTTTAAATTATCTTACTTCAAAAAAAAGTCAAACATTTAAATAATGATACTGACGGAGGCACTAATATACTCTCTAATATGAAGATAAAAGAAATAAAAATTTTATAACTATAAATTTGTAATTTACTGATTTTATATTGTGGGTTTTCAATAGGTAATGCGTTTATCTTATAGTGCAGTCGCTGTGTTAAGGCAACTGAATGAAAAATAGTACTGATCACAACTAGCAATAGATTGTTTACAAACTCAGCAAAGGTTCAAAAAAAGACAAAGATGACAAGGTACTAAAAATTTGAGTTTTGTTCACAGCATGTTCTGTATATCGAGTATAAAATAAATATGTATCTCCATTCATCAATTTTATTATAATATTTACATTACGCGTCATGATATTCATACAATGAGTTCATTGATCGAGAAAACTAAACAAAATGTTTGTTTGTATATATATATATATATATATATATATATATATATAACTGAAGTTACAAATCTTTAATTGCCATTAACATGTTACAGATTTTGAACAATGGCACTAACCAGCAGCAAAATTAATTTAAGTTTGCTTACGACAGGTATGCTGCTGTGAAAGTATCTTTGCATAAAAATTCCGTTAACCAAAAGCTATATTATTATTAAAATAATTGCAATGATATGTAACCAATAAACTAAAAACATGAAATAACTATACCTAATTAAATTCTAATAACTTAACTATCTTGCCTAAAATGTATTTTTAATGCTTAACATATCGAAGAAAAATTATTTATAAATCTATGATATTGTAAATTATTGTAACACAATAAATGTATTATTGAGTATATTAGAATTTAAAAATATGATATGCACATCATAGAACATAAAACCAATTAATCACTATTATAGCGCTGATAAAAATATTTGAATATGGGATATAGAATGCTTATATTTTATTGCTTTAGTTACAGCTAACAAATATTAATATTTATGATATAACATAATATCAACAGCTCTTCAATCATTCTTATATTGCATAGTCAATTAAAAATATTTAATTCGAGACTTATCATTTAAATAATATCATTTTATGTTATAATTATCGCTATTGGAAGATTTTTTTTAAATTTTATGATATTCAAAATAATATTAGTACACTTTTGTCTCATACAATCACTGCAAGAACAAATTATGTTTATGATTAGTAACTACGCATCAAAAATTAAACTAAATTAATTATTTTTTTATTATTTAGTAGATTTACTATAAAATTTGAATATAAATTTCAATTTATTGCCTCCTTCCCAATAAAGCATCACAAAAACAAATTTCCCCTAAAATATCATATTCAAGTAAAATATGTATGATTTCAAATCATGTCAGTCAGAATTAAAACAATAATTTTAGACTATTAAATTCAATAGAACTTCTCATTAAAATCACCTATGCACCTATCATATATTCAATTTTCACAATATTTCATTCACATAATATCATGGCAAACACAGAAAAGTAATTTCAGACCATTTAGGGAATCAGCATATTTCACTCACGACACGGAACTAATGGCATTATGAGGTGATCCCATTTGTGTTAAAACTTTATCGAGCCACTGCAGTGGACCATGCAAGTGTATTTCTATCCAACAAGGTGTACTAGTTACATCTTGTCGATGGTATTCAGCACCCCATCCTTTTACAAAACTCATTCGTATAGTGCACATTTTGGTTAATTCATAAACGGCCTCAAAACCATGATTAACACTTTGTGAAAGTAACTGTGCAAATTCTTGATTATTGAATATTTTAAGAGAACAACCAGATGGTATTTTACATACAGTGCTTGGATGAAAATTATGATGATGATTGCAATTTCTACTCTGAACAAAAATTGCTGAATCAGATAAACACTCAGCATAAACTTCTCCACCCACATAATATAGATGAACACCTTTACCTATGTGTCTACGAGTATTTTCTATTGTGCTATTTCGATTTACATTGCTCAGCTGTCCTAAACAAAATCTGTCTGAATTGTTAGATGGATTTGTAAAACCATCTACGATCACAGAGTGTGAATTACAATGAAACACTTCACCTACACGACAGTTAAGCTCATAATATGCTATGCTTGCCCAAAAAGCTGGTTCTTGATAACTAACAGGAGCAACTTCCATAGCATTATCCACTGGCGATACATTACCATTGTCTTCATGAGGGCTATAAGCAGGAGGAGGAGTTTCAGGTAAACCACTGTAAGGGCTTTGTGGATTCGAATTTATGGAACCGGGACTTGGAACAGATGATATAGGACTTTGAGGACCATTATGTTGGGAATTAAATCCGTTATTCGAGTAGCTAACATTGTGGGGCATGTTAGGTTCTGAGATCTGCTGAAATGGTAGCAATGAATGTCCTGGTGCAAATTCTGAATGTCGTGGCACCAAAACTGGTGGAAGAACAGGACTTTCAACTCTCTTGTAATGATACGGATTTATACAAACGTCTTTTTGTTTTGCACTAAATGGAAACTGACATAGTTCCAAAGGCTTCAATTCATGATGACTTTGTAGATCAGGCCAACGCCATACACGACAATAAATCACATGGGGTAGACCTTTGCGATGTGATACCTGCATAGGTAATTGAATTTGTTTTTAGCCGCAAAAAATATACCAAACTGCAGTGTTAATTATATTGCATCTAATAAGCTTGGCATACAATTTTTAAATAAAAGCAGTTCAGTAGTTAAAAAAACGCAAAAAAACCCATGTCACGATTAAATAATATATATGCGATTAAAAGTAAGAGTTTGATGTGATTAAGAAGCTTGCAAGTAAGAAATATTTTCTTACAATTTCAAAATATTTTACAGTATTATTGTTTATGCAACTTTTTAAAGAGAAGATATTGATGTTGATATAGAAATATAAATAAAAATATAACGTTTCTATTAGTAAGTGAATAGTGACCTATGTCACTAAGCAAATAACAATAAATAATATTAGTCATATGTACATTACCTGTAATCTGCCATCTAGAGATCTGGGTATAGTAACACATTTACTTGGTGTGCCTGGACAGCTTAAAGCTCGCTCTAATTCTTCAATAGCACCTTTACGTTTTTTTAATTTTTTAACCAAGCTATCGACGGCCTTTTCTGCCCATTTTTCCTCCTCATCACCTTGCTTCCACCCCAATAACTTTTTTACTGCAGGTGATGTAAAAGAAAACAAACTATTCAGGCTGGACATTGGTCCGCCGCTAGAGCTTTCCATATCATCAGTATCCATATTATTTCTGTTATAAAAAGATGCATTTTGTCAATTGGAGGCAAATTTCATGGAATTTAAACATAGTAATAAAAATGTAACTTAGGACTAATAAATTATTATCATTCGCGAAATATTCAAGCAAGTGTTGCATACCTTTCTAATAACTATGTACAAATTTAGTGCAATAATTCAATTAGGAGCAAAATTAACTTTTCTTTATGTCAGCAAAAGAAATATTTACTTCAATTGTTTATACTGACATGGCCGCTGTCCCGCTGTGACATGGGGTTGCCAGTGCCAAAGAAATATATTAAGCGCGAGAGAAAATTTCAGTACTGGCAACCCTAGCACGTGGTAATTATTTGTTATGACGTTTCTTGACAGTTGTTTTATTGAAAAGCAGTGTTTTACTATATATATTTATGTTAAGATCCATATGTTTAGTTTAGTATATTCTCAACGATAAAAGATTTGTTTACAAAGACTATTTTATATATTTATAACGTGTTTTTGGAGAATATATTAAAGTTAAAAATGCAATCCACATCTGCTCCTAAAGGTAAACGTAAAAGAGGAAAGAAATCTAAATCTCAGACAAAAGATGCTATTCAAAAGACTAAATTATCTAGAAATGAGATAGGAGCTAATTGGAAATCTTTTCTTTCAACGCAAAGCTTAACTAAAGATTCACACAAAGATAATTCCCAAAAAACAGAAAAATATTCGGGTCCATTCAGAAGAGCTAGAAAACTAGAAAGTCTTATACAAATGAATCAAACAGCAAATACAACAGATACCAGTGAAAATTCAACCTTTGCCAGCCAAGGATTAACATCAGACAAAAAAGAGGATAAAAGAAATCAACCTTTGGTAAGTTTTATTAAAGCTACTTATATTACACATTCATAGAATAACATAAACTAAAAAATATTACGCTATACTTGTAGATCACAAAATATGTGGCTATGGATTGTGAAATGGTTGGCGTTGGAGAAGAAGGCAAAGAAAATATGCTAGCTCGAGTTTCTATAGTTAATAAGCATGGTGATTGCATTTATGATAAATTCGTTGCACCTCGTGAAGAAGTAGTTGATTATAGAACAAGTGTGAGTGGTGTTAGACCAAGTGACTTAAAGAATGCCACAGAATTTGATACTGTCGCAAAGGAAGTTGCTTCAATATTACAGGGAAAAATTCTTGTTGGTCACGCTTTGCACCATGATCTTGACGCTTTACTAATCAGCCATCCAAGAAAACGAATTAGAGATACATCAAGATATAAGCCATTCAGAAGTTTGGCTGGCGGAAGGACCCCAGGTTTGAGAAAATTGGCTAAATTAATTTTGGGTGTTGATATTCAAAAGGGTGAACACAGTTCTGTAGAAGATGCTAAAGCTGCAATGCAAATTTATATATCTCATAGTAAACAGTGGGAAGAACAAATAAGGAGAAAACCTGCAAAGGTGTAAACTTAGTTTTATGGTTAATGTTAACATAAATTTCAAATATTTATATATGTAAAAATACATATTATAATATTATACAACACTATTATTCCTAATTATTCAAGAATAATTCAATAATAGAATATAAAATATTTATTACATATTTTTATGGACAGTATCACAAATAAATAGATTTCAAATCTGAATATATACCTATATAAACACTATTTATAAAATGCACATATAAGACAACCTTTTTTGTGCTCTGCAGCAAATAAAATTAACATATTATATTCAGTATCAGAGTAAAACATAATAATATTTAACTTACTTATATACAATAATATATATCATGACAGGGGGTATATATGTGAAATAAGGGAATAAAATGAGTTAAAACTATTATTGCATATGGTAATTATCAGTAGTCACTATTAAAATTTGCTATGCAATTTGCTTTAATTCAGTTCTATGTAATTTTAATTTACAGTAATAATAACATTGTTAAAAAAACTAAATATCTATCATCTTTTTCTGCGTTGCTCAAAATTTGCATTGTAAGCCATTAGACGATATCTTTGTTTCAGATAACGTGCTCTTAAATGGGGAGAACCTATTTCTTCTGTATAATTACCAGGAAACCATCCCTTTGCGCCATCTCGAATTCGTTCGCCATGGTACCATCCTATATACATTTTTTTATATTAAAATACACTTAGCATAGTTTTATCGCTATCTCTAAATTTAACAGTAAATTTGTAACGTACCATCAGCCATTTTGCGATTTACATTAATCACATCACCAGGTTCTAATCCTAGTTCGTCCGGTTGTCTGGGTAAATATTGGTGTCTGGCTATGAGTTGTGGGCAATCCCAATCTTCATACAAAACTTCATCAGGATTGTCGGACGAAGGTGGTGACCAGGCCTCTAACCATCTTTGCCGGTCGCTTTCGCTTGCGCACGACAAAAACTACGCAAAAAAGTAAAATACATATCCATTACAATATAAAATGCGTATGTGTATAATTTTGAACGCTTTTTTACCATTTCAACAGTCTTTCCTTCATGATTTTCGAGTATTGTAAGTAAAAGCATATGTTTGGCTGGAGCTTCTTTACCAGGCCATATGTGTCCGCCTTCTGGTCCATTTCCAATAACTGTTATCAGAGATCTGGGGCAATGTCCAACTACCATATAGTTCTCATCACTGTAAAAAATAAAAATAATTTAATTATATAAAATCAACTACCCAAAAGCTCAAGTAATTGGTTATACACAATATAAATTCTCAAAATTAATTCAACTTACCTTTTTTTCTTTGCTATTATCATAACATCGGTAAACAAGAAAAAGTTAAGAACTGTTTTGATCAGCTTCTTCCCGAAAGTGAGTTTGTTACTGGTGACTGGTCCACCGTCATCCCCTCTGCACGATATTTGGGTCAGTTCACCAGATCGCACCAGCACTCGGCGTGGAACTTTTCTAGGTACTAATTGGACAGGTGTTATATATTGGGGATATTCAAGAAGTCGGGAAAGGCGGCACAATTCGGCCATATGCTCAGTTTGTCTTGCAGCTTCATTACATTGATGGACAATCTAGATAAAGAAAATTAGAACTAAATAAGATATTAATTATATATGAAATTTATTTATCATCAACCAATACTTACAAATATGTAAGGTTTTTAATTCAGATAAAATTTAAACTTACGTTATTTAAAATAGACAGAGCAGATTGGCAAATAGGATATTCATCATCGCTTTGATCTAGCCTTTTCAAAACAGCGTCAATAAGAAGAGGAAACCTGGTTATCCTTTGCATAGGTAACATTAAAAATGAATGTAAACCTAAGCCTTGGCAAGCTGGACTTTGTTCCAATATGCAAAGATGTTCATAAAATCGCCCTCTTTGATCTCTATAGTAAAAATTATAAAAATTAATATAATAACATATTTCTCAAACAAGTAGATTTTCTTACTTAAGTTTTTTGAGTGTCCTATCTAGATGGTTGCTGCTCACAATACTTCACATAAACGTGAAATTCTTGCTCTGCATGATGTTTAACT